AGCAGGAATCTGAAGGCATCCAGGATGTAGCTATCATCAGAGAATGCTTTAAATGGCTTTGCTGGTAACCGCTGATCGATCAAAACCAGTATTTTTGTGTAAAGTCTGTGCCAGGTTGACAAGCAAGGGATTTCTCATCAAAAAACAAAGAGCTGCAGAAGGAGCTTGCCCAACCCACTGTAGCCCACAGCCCAGGAGCCATCAGCCAGGTCCGGGATAAGGCTGAAGGCCCTGACCTCAGCCACACAGAGGACAGAAGTGAAGCTGGGCTCAGGCCACCTCACAGGAGTGCCCGCAGGGCTGCCTGGGCTCAGCCGCGCCAAGGGCCAGCGCTCCCCCCGGGTCAGGACATTTCCCACTCCTCAAGCTCCCCGTGGGACAGCAAGTCACTGCCTCCAGCTGTCACAGCCCCTGCACCTGAGCATTCTCCTGCCCTGGTCTCCTCCTCTCATCTTAGCTCAAGGAAATAGCCTGGATTTCCACAGATAGGATAACCCTGGAACTGTGGAGGCTGAGCAACAAGCAGAGCTCACTGTGTTCTAAGGACCAGGGTTTGGTCCTGCTGGCCAGGCTCATTTATCTTCAGGGGACCATTGTCCTAAACAAGCAATGCTCCTCAGTAAAGGCGTGGGAGAAGAAAGAAACAAATCCCACGCATCATTTAAGTCATTAAATTCCCAAAGTAGCCCCTCTCTGTGGGGACACTGAACTTCCCAGGAACAACAGTCTTGAACACCTCACAGCTAACAAAAAAAGAATTAGACAATGCTGTCACCACAGGTCGAGCACTATGAGGACACATCCCATCACCTTCCCGCATCACTAGGATCCCACTCACTGCACATCTAGGTGCTGGATGTGAACCTGGAGACGGCAAGACCCAAATCCGCTCAAGAGACTACACAGTGGATTTTTTTGCCCTGCTGGGCTAAAGAAAGCTAAACCTCTCAAAAAGTCAAGGCATCATTTCAATCGTAGACCAAGGCAGACAAGAATACTGGTATAAGAAAAGTGGCGTGGAGAGCAGAAGTTGAAACAGGGGAGATCAAGGTCAGTGGAAGAACTAGTATAGTAATATTAAAAGTGACACAGAAATAGGAACGCACACGGAAATCTGATGCAGACAGGGAAGAAATGTAGTGCTGAAACAGAGAAAATGCTAAGAGCTAAGTAGCATGGGTAGAAATGAGGGAAGGACTAGACATAGCTGTAGCCACTGGATGTTGGGCTTCATCCACCTTCAACAGGACCTTGCACAAATCCTCCAGCCTCCTCCAAACAGATTAACACGACAACAAAAATTGCGTCTCAAGTACAAATATCCACTAGGTAGGTATAGAAGCACACCAATCTCAGCAACAGTGGTGCGGAGATCTGTAAATAAAACCTCATCCTTCCAGAGGCAGAAAAGACACATCAGGTTATACCTGGGAGTTTGCACTCCCACTGATGCAGGAAGTGGGAGATTTACCCACAGAAGGACCAAGCACTAACAGAAACCACAGTATCTTGCCCACTACCTGGCATAACA